GAGAGCTAGTGTGTAGTTCCAGTCCAACTCTGAAGGCCTCAGAACCAGGAGAGCCAGTGATGTAGTTGCAGCTTGAAAGCTGGCAGGCTTGAGACCCAAGAAGAACAGATGTTTCCTTCTGCATTAGGGAGGGCAATCTGCTTTACTGAATCTGACTCATATGTTAATCTCATTTAAAAACATGACACATCAGACACAGCAGAATAATGTTTGACCAAATATTTAGGCACCTTGTGGTCCAGCCAACTTGATACATAAAACTACGCATCACAGTGGGTGTGGGGGCACAGTTTTTTTTCTGTGGTGTTTGACCAGAATAGAGCAGATACTGTTACAAGGGTTGTTGGTTTTTTTTTTTTCCCCCGCTAGATTCTTTCTTTTCTGGTTTTTTGGCTAGAGAGAGTAGCTTTCGTTGAGCCTTTTTCTATATGTGTGCCTGGGCATTTCCACCTTGCCAGTCTTCTTCACTTCCAAGTCTGGGATATATGATAAAAGGGAACCGGAAAGCTCACCACTGTGTTGTTCCTCAGGTCCTGAGATCCCTGGTAGGTCCGCCATCTTCTTCCACCTTTCAGAGTCTTAGGTTTGTGTTGTATATATTGTCCAGGGATTTTAGTTATATTAGTAGGAGAGATAGGGAAAAATATGTCTGGTCCACCTCCCTAGAAGTGGGAGTCTCCTATGTGTACGCTTTTCAAGGCATTGCAAAGCTCGTTGGATAAAGAAAGAGAAGGGAGTGAACAGAAATTTGGAATTGGAGAGAGTTTAGACCAAGAGAACTAAGAAGTGCTGCAGGGAATGGAAGTTGGCGAGAGGCATATAGTAGAGAACTTGCAAAGAAGTAATTAAAGTCTACACATGTATTCTGAGACTCTAAGCCACTTGTAAAACTGCCCCAATTCTTAAATTTTTAATCTTCTCTGCTTAAAACCCCTTCAGTGGTTTTCCATTATGTTAGAATAAAGTCCAGGATCTTGCACATGCCCCTTCGCATCTACTGCCAGCCTTCTCTTTCCATGCTCTGGTCGTACTGTCTCTCTCAGTCCCCAAGGTTCTCTGCTGTCTCCTATGTCTGGACTCCTGCAAGTTACTGTTCCCTCTCACTGGATGGCGCATTCATCCCCGTAGTTGGCTTGGTCACTGCTGTCTGTCAGGTACTCACTTAAACATCCCATTCCAAGGAAGGCAGACTTAGGTTAGTTAGGCCTCCTTCCTAACTAACATTCCCCTGGCATTTTATATTTCCCTTCTCATAACTTTCATCATCCCTCATTGTTACTTTTTAAAAATCTTTGTACCAGACTATAATATATGTCTGTTTTGTTAAATCTGTATCATTAACACCTAGCAATGGCCCTGGTCTACAGTAGATGCTTTATATAAATACAGTTTACATAAATATGACTTACACATATTTGTGTGTGTCCTCTTAATGTTCTAGCCAGTTATTTCTGTAGTGTTGAGGTCGACTATACATAGGTGTATTACCTGTGTCATTCAATTTTTTGTATTAGTTATATATTTGTATAATTTAAAAATCAGAAAGTATAGGGTGCCTGGGTGGCTCAGTCAGTTAAGTGTCTGACTCTTGACCTCACCTCAGGTCATGATCCCACAGTTCATGAGATCGAACCCCACATCAGGCTCTGCACTGACAGTGCGGAGCCTGCTTGGGGCTCTCTCTCTGCCCCTCCCCTACTCACTCTTTCTTTTCTGGCTCAAAATAAACATTTACATTTTTTTTTTTTAATTGCAAAGTATAAAAATGTATACAATGAAAAGTCTGCCACCTTGATGCCATCTGCCCAGATTCCACCTGCCTCTCACCATTGTTACTAATTTTCATGTAGATTTCCAGATTTTCTTTACATAAATACAAGCAAATGTACACAGTTGTAACCACCTACACATTCATATTTTTTTCCTTCTTTAACACAAATTTTTTCCTTGTGATTTTGTATTGTTTTCCTACTTAATATATCTTGGAAATCTTTTTATACTGGGTCACAAAGAATGTCTTTTTTTTTTCCATTTTGGTAGTTGCATAATATATTTTTTTTGACGCTAATGGTATTTTTTTTTTTTTTTACTTCTGTTTCAGCTTGTTTCTAGTATATAGAAATGCAAGTGATTTTAGTACATTGATCTTCCATCTTGCAACCTTGCTAAACTTGTTTATTCTAATTTTTTTTTGTATATTCCACCAGATTTTCTACAGAGATAATCATGTTGTCCACAAATAAAGACAGAATTATTTATTATTTTCCAATCTGGCAGTCTTTTATTCCTCTTTCTTGCCTTATTACACTGGCTCCAGTATTACCTCCAGTATTAATGTTGAATAGAAATTTTGAAAATTGACATCTTTGTCTTGTTCCCGGTGTTAGTGGGAAAGCATCAGTCTTTGATTTATAAATATGATGATAGCTGTAGTTTTTCAAAGATGTTCATTATCAGGTTGAGGAATTTCTATTCTTAATATCCTAAGAAATATAAATGTTGTTGGCTTTTGTCAAATTGTTTTTCTTTGTAGAGATGATCATATAGTTTTTTTTTATTTGTTAATATGGTGAATTATATTGATTGGTTTTTGAAACCAACCTGGCATACCTGGGAGAAAGTCATGTGATTATGATGTATAACCACATGACTTTTTTTATAAGGACATTTATGTTCACTCTTACGTATTACCCAAAGGATACAAAAATATTTCGAGAAGGGTCACACGCACCCCATATTTATAGCAGCATTATCAACAGTAGTCAAACTATGGATGGAGCCCAAATGTCCATCAACTAATGAATGGATAAAAAGGAAGTGGTGTGTGTATGTCTGTGTGTGTGTAATAGAATCTTAGGCATCAAAAAGAATGGATTCTTGCCATTTACAACACTGTGGATAGAGCTAGACTGTATGGTAAGTGACATAAGTCAGAGAAAAATAAATACCATATGATTTCACTCATATGTGCAATTTAAGAAACAAAACATTTCATAAGGAAAGGGAAAAGAAAAGAAGGAGGCAAACCATAAGAGACTCTTAACTATAGAGAACAAACTGAAGGTTGCTGGAGGGGAGGTGAGCCGGAGATAGGCTAAATGGATGATGGGTATTAAGGAGGGCACTTGTTGGGATGAACATTGGGTGTTACATGTAAGTGATGAATCACTCAACTCTACTAAAACCAATATTACACTATATGTTAACTAGAATTTAAATAAAAACTTAAAAAGAGTTTTCTTTGTAGGACGGTTTTTAACTACAAATGGAGATTTTTAGGAGGTTATGTATTTCTTCTGTTTCTGGTATTTTCTATCTTTAAAGAGATTTGGCCATTTCATCTGAGTTGTCAAACTTATTGGGTAAAAGTTGCTCATGACATTTTAATTACCCTTTTTATATCTGGAGAATCTATAGTGATGTCATCTCTTCAGTCTTTATTTTGTTAATTTCTGATTCCATTGTGGTCAGAGAACGTAATTCGTATGACTTAAATCTTTTTAAATTTGAAACTTGTTTTATGGCCTAAAATACATTATCTATCTTAGTAAATGTTCCATATACTTGAGAAAACTATATTTTGATGCTGTTGGAGTGTTCTAAAAATGACAATTTACAGACGTAAGGCTATCAATTCAACATGTATCACTTTTATTGCTTTTATATATAATCTTTAATTTTGGTAATCTTTCTTTGAAAATTTTTAGAGAAAGCTTTCTGGCATTAAAACCCAAGCTTTTGATGAGACCAACAAATGTGTAAGGCAGTCTCTGTGACAATTTCGGGCTTATGGCTTTGATCTTCAGTTTCCTTTTCACTTTTCGACTCTTGAGTATTGCCCTCACTTTCTTAGGAACTCAGCTGTGTATTGTAAGGAATGTTTATTACAATTTTCCCCCAGAATTTCTAGGGAGATTTTTTTTTCCCTCCAAATTATTTGGCCCACTGTACTCTCATGCAGGGTTGACAGTTGCTGTAGCATTAACACTTTTCACATGATTTTAATATGATTTAACATTTCTCTGTGATTTTAGTTCATGTTTTTCAAGAATCTAAATAAGATTTTAAATCTTATTATAAGGAATATTGGTGACTAAAGGAAGCAGAATGGATGGGTCAGGTATAGTCCCATAATCCTTTTAAGGTTGTTAAGTCCTTCTGATACCTCTCTCAAATGATAAGGGTTCCTCGGTTTTATTTGTTTTGTCAAACACGTGTTAGCATATAGTATTCTCTTCTTCACACAGTGCCTTCTTCCCTGGTGGGATTTTTTTCTACCTAGAATCTAGGCCTTCTTTTTAAAGGAAACCATTTCCTGCAGCCAGCAGAAAATGAAAGAGTGCTACTGAAATCTAATGCTTGGTTACTTGACAGTTTCCACTAATAATAAGGTTCTGTTTCTCCCTCAGACTGTTTCTCTTGAAAAAGGCCAAAATTATGGGTTGCCATTCAGTTGTACAAGTCTGTACAAGATGAATTTAAAGCAATCAAAATGTTATGAAACCGAGAAGTTAAATCAACCTTGAAATAGCTAGTTTGGAGGCTTGTGACAAAATATGGACAACCTTAATCAACTGAGCCACCAACAGGACCAACTATATTCTGTTATCAATTTGATGTATTCTCTTTTTTCTTTTCCTTTGCAAATTTTCTTTATAAGGTTGGGAGATAAATACATATGGGTCACCTAATATTTGTTATGTTATTATAAACTATAAATTTGTAATATCTACCTAATATTTTATTTAAAAGACAGATTTACTTAACTGTTTTCCCATGTTGTATGTGTATTTAATTGCAATTTCTTCCTGTCCTCCCTCTTCTCCTGTTGCTTCTGTTATAGGGCTGCACAGTGAACACCTTAATGCATTAAACATTTTTTTTCTCAAATGTATTCAGGATAAATTTCCAGGCAGAATTACTGGGTAAAAGTGTTTTCACATTTTTAAGATATGGCATAAAGCATGGTATAAAGTTATATTCTCCCAACATTCTACCAGTGGTCTTTAGCAGACCACTTTGAGTATGTGTTACATGTAACCAAGGGACAAAGGGGACAGGGTTGTGATGCTTTCTTTATGGTTTCTCTTCAGGACATGGTGCCTGTCATAGTTGATTACTGCCTGCTGCTAGAGCGAAAGTAAGTATACATTGCCTGTCAGATTCAATTATTTTGAACCCACAGTGCCTGTTGCTTATATGGTAATTTACTGTTGTGAATTCTATGAATTTGGATGTATTTTAGTTTAATTTACAGAAATTTGATTCTTTAACAATTTTCAGTGCATTTACCAGTAAAACTAACTTTTCCAAAATAGGTGGTGTGGGCGTATCATCTGTGTGTTTGTGTGGCCAGATAGTGGAGGCAAACATGGCTAACAACAAGGTAGTCCTACTAAAAAATCTTAAAAGTGTATGATTCATGTCCTTCATATATATATACATATATATATATGTGTGTGTATGTATGTGTGTGTGTGTGTGTGTGTGTGTGTGTGTGTGTATATATATTCTCTTTCATGAACTAGCATTAAAACACAGTATTACATACCACCCAAAACAGGGCAAAATTCAAATTCAGAGTGCCTCTGGAGTGTTGGTTTTTAGAGCCTTTTGTCAAGGAGAAATCAGTACATTTAAATTAACCCATCTTTGCTAGTTCACAGTTTTTCACACTTAAAATAATAGCTTCCCCCATGCCAGGTATTGTTCTAAGCACTTTACATTAATTTGTCTAATTTTGGTAATAGCGAGGTAGGTATTATTTTCAGCTCCACTTTCCATAGGTGGTTCCAGAGACAGAAAGCCGTTAAATAATTTGCCAAAGCTAACTCACACTTCTTTTGAGGAGCGAAGATAGGATTCCAGTACAGGCAGTCTGGCTTCTGAGTCCTTGCTTTTAACCACTAGTTTGTTTCTGAGTGGTAGAGAACAACTGAGGACCCAGTGCAAAACCTTGTACAACCTGAGCTGATGCATGGATTGATATGCAGGTAGCCTGCATCATGCTTTAGAAAGTATGTATCAGTGAATGTTATCAAGAGGGCAGTTATTTGCTAGGTCAGACCTTTAAGTCATGAAGAACTATAGTTTCTGTTTACTTAAGTTCATTCCAGTGTTTTAGCTATACAGTGTTATATGTAATTATCCAGTGAAATACGTTGTGTTCATGATTGAGATATTGTTGAAACATGGCTTTATGTTACACATTTTCTCTTCTATGAGGGCCTATGGGAAAAATTTCCCTCAGGTCTGAGTGCCAGAAATATGTGTACATTTCCTGAATAGTATATCACGGCTCTTAGCTTTCTAGAAAACTTAAATTATTTATACAATTTGCTGTCCATTAGCTAAAAGTATAAGGAAGTGTGGGGCTGTTATACTAGGCATTGGGTCAAATGTTCCCTTTTGTGTTCTAGATGGTATGCTTTTATGCTTGCTTACTTCTCACCATACTGGCTTTCTTTTTCATCAGAAAGATCCTGTGTATGGGGTCAAATAGGCCAGTTGATCAACTTTGATTCTTTGTGTCTAGGTCATCTTTCAATCTCCTTCCATTCCAAACATGCAGTGATTAAAGGTGGATTAGATATAAAAATAGTTCAGTGTCATCACTCTCAAATGGTAGGGTTTTTGCAATTTTTTCTTAGAGTTGCCATAGACAGTCAGGCTAAAAGTACTCAATTCCCTAGGGTAAATTGAAGCGGTAATTGTAAGATGTATGTAGCTTCATTCCAGTATGACATCTTTCTTCCTAAACTGCACTGTCTCTTTATGCCATCTTCTTTGATGTTTGGTTTCATTTCTCTGTAGGGTCTTCTCTTTATATTCCCAGATTTCTGAAGTATCTGTGACCTTAAGATGGCTTTAAGGAATGCTTAGGTTGTGCATAACACAAATACAATTTTACAAAACATAATGTAGTACTCAGCTAATTTCAGGTAACTTCTTCTACCTCTAGAGTCATCACTCAGACATTCAGTCTGGCCCCCAGAAGCTTTTTATATTAATATCCTCTGGTAGAGTACATTGTTTTTATAGTTAGTCCTTTTTCACATGCTGTTTCTTGTGTGAGTCAAATTATAGACACAATACATATTCTGAATTGATTTTGACTGAGTACTATGACCAATACCCTATAATCACTGTTAGTTACTTCAGTATCATAATTCATAGAAGCCTATCCATACCCAGCAGTAATACTAATTGAACTAGTGTGTGTGTGTGTGTGTGTGTGTGTGTGTGTGTGTGTGTATTCCCATTCATACTTAAGAATTCTTTTATAGTGTAAAATCCTTTTACTGTGGCAGGAATTACACTTCTTTTTCTCTGTAGGACATACCGACCAATATGTTACAGACATCTTTTTTTTTGGTTAAAATTTGGCTTTATAGTCTTTTTGTGAATTGTTTAAAATCAGAAGTGACAGGAAATTCTGTTTTTGAAGACTCGTACTTTTATTTTCATAATTTGATTTCTTTTTTATTTATTAAAATAATTTTTTTCTTTTATTTATTTTGAGAGAGAGAGCAAGCAGGGTAGGGGCAGAGAGACAGGAGAGGGAGAGAGAGAGAGAGAGAATCCTAAGTAGATTCTGCATTGTCAGTACAGAGCTTGATGTGGGGCTTGAACTCCTGAACTGCGAGATCATGACTTGAGCCGAAATCAAGAGTCCAACGCTTAACTGACTGAGCCCCCCAGGCACCCCCATAATTTGATTTATTTCACAATTTCACTTCAGTTTGGCAGTGTATATTTTTTTTTTTAGTATTAGACAAAAGATACATCTCAAGGCTTTTTGTAGGACCTTTAATGATTTGTAATTTTGCTTATGCAATAGTAGCCATAATTTCAATTTATTTTGAAAATAGGTCCAGAGTTTACTTGAACTATAATCATAATTTTGAACATTGTTTAAAAATAGGTGCTATGGGGGGGGTGCCTGGGTGGCTCAATCAGTTTAGTGTCTGAGTCTTGATTTCAGCTCAGGTCATGATCTCGTGAACCGCGAGATTGAGCCCCTCCCCGGGCTCTGTGTTGACAGCGTGGAGCCTGCTTTGGATTCCCTCTCTGACCCTCTCTCTCTGTCCCTCCTCCCTTCATGCTCGCTTGCTCTTCTCTCTCTCTGTCTCTCAGACTCTCAAAATAAATAAACATTAAAAAAAATAATAAAAATAGGTTCTATCTTATGTGAATTGTATCTCAATAAAGCCATTGTAAGACAAAACCAAACAGGTGCTGCACGTACATGATCTTGACCACTTTGAGCGTATATCACTGTAAGCCGATATCCAAAAAGAAGGCATTATTCAAATGACTTGAATTATATATAAATCTGAACCAAAAATATTTCTGTTAAATCTAAAGTGAACCTGAAGTGGTCTTTTGATAGCCAGGGTGTGTTTAGTCTTGTTCAACATCAGTATTATTGTTCGAGAAACAGAAAGATCTTAATTATCAAACATAGTTGAGGAACTGGATGTTTTAGATCCTGTTTTCCTGACAACTGCATGTTAATATTTTAAGCATCAAAGCTAGGGGAAAAACCTTTTCTATTTTATAACAGCTACATCGAACTATATAATTCATACCACAAAATTCGCCCTTTTTAAAGTGTACAATTCAGTAGGTTTTAGTATATTCACAGAGTTGTACAACCATCACCAGAAGTAAGCCATGCCTTTTTAAAGGAAATCTTTACAAACCGCGATCCTTGTATCAGAAAATAGAACATTTTGAACATAATTTCTTAAAGTTCATTTGAACTTTGTCATTACTTTTATAAATAAAGAGAGCAGCCCAAACCAACTTTGGATTCAAGTCCTACTTAAATGTAGTGGGGATTTGTTTATTTAGCTCTGGCTAGATGTGTAGTAAAGACTGGCAAGTGTTAAGGGTTGACGTTCTTGCTCTGTTTCTGACAGTCTGAGTTTGTACTTATAATCAAAGCTGAGTTCTTCTCATTTTTTAAATTGCAAAATTGATAATGCATGAAGTGAATTTGACCATTTTCTTAATCAGTTTGAAGCTATGAATGGTAAACCCCCAATAATGTCTTTAATATGAGTATTAACGTAAAGTGAAGCTACATGGAAAGACAACCTCTTTGGTCCTCTATTATTCAGAATGGATTTTGTGTTCTACTGGCTACAGGGTGGCTAAGTTTGAAGTGATAAAAAACAGTTTTAAAGTTAGGACTTCCAGGTAACAGAGTCAGCACTCTGGAGTATCATTCCTAAATATAGAAAGAAACACAGGAGCTAAACACTTTTTTTTTTTTTTTTTT